ATCAAATTTATTTAAACCAGGCATTCCTATAACAAATTAGAATTCCTTTGAGACAAAATTTTTAAGATGCTACATGTTAGAAAAGATGATTTAGGCATCTTTTGAACCCCTATTTAGCCTAGGGCCAACTAAATTAAAATATGACTTTTAACCAATTTGAAACCTATATCCAAAATTTTATCTATTCACCCTTATAACCTAACCATTAAAACTACTTAATTTCCTACGTTAAGTGGCAATAATGTTATAATTTGAAGGATTTGATTTCTGTTTAAAACATAGCAGCAAAAAGGGGAAGAAAATATCATTAATACTAGCAAGAAAGCAAGTAGAAAAACAAGAAAACACCCCATAAAAGAAGCAATCAATCCAAGAATTTCAAGTTTGGGGGAATAAAGCAAGGGAAGAATTATTCAAAGTATTATGAAATAGACCTTGCCAAAGTATCTCTAAATTTTTGAGCTAGTGAAGAACTGTCAAGATTAAATCGCCTTTACAAAGAAAATTTGTTTTGATATAATGAAAATCTTGATATTATGCATTTTCTATGCTCGTTTGTCATCTTTTATCTTTTTTCTTGTTTAGCTAAAATTATACCTCAAAAACCGCCATTAAACCAAAATTAAAGACCTTTTGATCTTTTTAAATCGTATGGCATTTCAATTGTGGAGAAGGGATGACTAATTTGCTTATGTGAACGTTAAATTTATATTGTTAAACATCTTAATCAAAGGTAAATAGTTTGTGAAAATCATATTGCTGCTTATCATAGGTTGGATAATTATTAGTGTTGAAAATCTTATTAACTTATGTTTAAATTAAGGAATGTGTTTTCATCAAAAACTTGAATTTTTGCTTGAATATAATTAGCATGGAAAACACTTGATTGCTTCACATGTTAGTAATTTTGATGATCTTTTTGAAATTGTGAAAATTATCTCCAACCATAAGTAAGCTAGCTTTGTGAGTTTGTTTAGCTTATGTTTCTCTTTTGTTTTTAGTTTTGTTGCTTGAGGATAAGCAATGATTAAGTTTGGGGAGTTTTGATAGGTGACATTTGCCTAAGCCAGATCAAGTGATGGAATCTCATTGACTGTAAAAGTAATTAGTGTAATTTCAAGGTGCACCTTTAACTTAATTTTCACTTTGTTTTATTTATGTTTGTTCCAAAGATCTGAATCATAATCCTTGTTAACTATAGTCCTATCTCTCCTTT